TTTTACTTCCTTTAAACTGAAACCGATTTAAGGCTCATAGAGTTTGATGTTGTTCTGAGCAGAACCGACAGCTGCTGAGGGATCGCTTCATGGTGGAGCTGGTTGAAGGTTCCAGGAAACTGCGTCATGTCTTCCTCTTCACAGACCTGCTGCTCTGCACCAAACTGAAGAAACAGGCTGCAGGGTGAGTCCTGGTCAGAGATGCTCATGATCAGTGAATCTCTTTCTACATGTTGCTTGTTTTATATTAGAAGATGAAGAATCGTTATTCAACCGTAAGTTTAAGATACTTTGAGATGAAGGTGCATCACTGAGGAATCTTTAAGTTTTGTTATTGATATGTCATCTTTAAGAAAAGGGCAACAGTAGGACTGCAAATGGTACATCCCCCTGGCTGACGTGACCTTCCAAACCATTGATGACTGCGAGTCCTGTCCCATCCCTCTGGTCCAGGAGGAGGAAATTGATGCGATGAAGATAAAGATATCCCAAATCAAGAATGAAATTCAGAGAGAAAAGGTGAGAACTCCCCTCAGGGTACCAATGGGGCAAAATAAAAAATAAAAAATACATTAAAAAGTAACGCAACGGAAAAGAGAAAAAATTTGGTCCTCCAGAGAAATAACTCTTGCTTTTTACATTTAGAGGACCACCAAAGGAGCTAAGATGATAGAGCGACTGAAGAAGAAGTTGTCTGAACAAGAATCACTTCTGCTCCTCATGTCCCCAAACATAGCATTCCGAGTGGCCAACAGAAATGGCAAAGTGAGTCAGATGGACAGATAAAAACAAAAAAGCATAATTTGTCTATCTGATTAGGATTTCAAGTGAAACATCAAGTAGTTCTGTCTGTAGCATTTCTAAGCTTGGCTTCTGCTGCCCTCTGTTGTTGACAGCCCCAAATTACAGAGAGGAGCCTCCATTATTTTGCTTTTTTTGCCTTTTAGGGATTCACATTGGAGAGAGATAGTGCGAGAGCAGCAGAAGAAGTGTAATTATATTTCATTTTATACCAACTTTTTGTGTCACAACAGCTGAGATCTCTAGTTTCTCACACCAAGACTGTGTCTCTCAGGCTTTAAGAGCTTCTCTTTGACCTCTCTGGAGCTGCAGATGCTCACAAACTCATGTGTGAAACTCCAAACTGTTCACTCTATTCCAATGACCATGAATAAGGAACGTGAGCCACCACTATACTGCACTTTTGACTTAGCTCACTGGAATATAGAATACAACATTTTTTTTTAAATATATATTTAAA